CCCAGCTTTTCCCCACCAACACTTTTAATGTAAGTTTCTAAATAACACTTCAAAACTTGACATCTTTGAAAAAGTGTTCCATTACCTAGTTGTGTGTTGCAAGGTTTCTCATGCCAGCAGGATTTAATGTGCTCTCTTGCTGTGGCTCTGGAAAATTTTACTTCAGGAAAGCATTGTTCTGTTCTCCACCAGCTTAGTACCGCTTTTTGTCTCTCTTTAAGCATATTGAAAATATATTCAAGAATGGAATAGAACTGTCCAGGGTCCGAGATACGCTAGCAGTTTAGAACTGCATTTTATATACTTGATGTAGACAATTTTGATGTAGTGATAAGATTTCACGCTAGTTCCATAACTGGCTGATGTCATGAACATCATGTCTTAATTTTGTTTATCCTGGTGAGTGGTGGTGTTAATGGTTGCAGCTTTTGTAAAACAGAACAAGTCTGTTGAACTTCTTGGGTGTTTTTTTTTTTTTTCTTCCCATGGAAGTAATTCACTAATGTTTTTCAGTCACATATGTTTTCTAATATCCATAATAGCGAAAATACTTTATAGGAAAGGAGAGCTCAGTAACCAGTCTAAAGCAGAGTAATTATTTTCTAGGGAGGACAGTCAGTAAATTCATTGTTTACCTGTGTAATGTTGATATACTAATTGTGTACGTATCAAATCTTGAAGCTGATAGATTTTCAAATTTAGGACCAAAATGTAGAAGAGTTCTTGCTTTGGCCTGGCTTAGCATAGTGACCCTACTAGTCATGAGGGATTTTCAGACCTAATCCCAGCCCTGATAGCATCTTGCTGTGTACCTTGTCCTTCTATAACTTTTTTTTTCCTCCAGTTTTCATAATGCCTTAAACTGAACTTGCTTTTCTTGAACATTCTCTTGCTTTCTTTCCATATTCGCTTTGTTCAGCTTTACCACCTTCTTCAAAGGTTATGTCTGTATACTATGTCCCTTTAGTTACCTGGGCAAGAAACCAAGAGAGTTGATGTGGCAGCTGTGTTTCCTAGAATATCTTAGAATTGGCTGGCTTTACACATGGAAATAGCACTAGTAAAAGTCCCTAGAGAGTGTGTCAAAATTTAATTATAGACCTGGGAAATAAGGGACGAAAACTATTGTTATGGATAGGAGAAAATGCCCATGTGTACCTTAGGTATATATCTCCATCTGCTGGCAATTGACACTGGCATTGTTATTTAAAAGGAAAGCACATTTGAGTCAGTGACACTTCATTGGGATGTAAAATGTTCAATAGTTTCCTTCTAGATATTGAATAGACATGGCTGGTGTGTATGCCTGACACTGATATTTGTAGCAATTACTACATGATAAAAATGCAGCCTTGCTTTAGTACCTATAAACGGTGTACTTCTCTGGTTCTTACCATTTATAACTTCATGTTATTTTGAACAAAGGCAGCTTTTTCTTTTATTTAGTATACTGTGTTGTTTCGCTGTTTCTTTGGGTTCGGGGTGCATTTGGAAAGATGCTAACGCATGATTAAACTAGAGATTTAACTTTCTTATTGAGAGCTGCTATTAGACTGGCTTTCAAATCAATAAATGTAAATAGGTGTGTAGTCAGTGTTACAATTTAAAACTTGAAGGTTAAGACAAATCCTTTTCCTGTCCTTTATGTTTAGATTAGAGAGACTTTTATTTCTTTGGAGCAAAATGGGCAAATAGGATTTAGAGTATTATTAGAATCATTATATCACTGTCGTTGGTCCTGGGGTTGCCAGGCCTTTTCTGATTATCAGATGCAACAAATGACGTCCAATTTTATTGACCAGTTTGGCTTCAACGATGAGAAGTTTGCTGATCAAGATGACATCGGCAAGTGAGTATAACACTATACTGACTTTGACTATGGTCTCAGGAGTTTCCTTTCTTCTTGTGTATTTGGCTGTGGTTTTGCTGATGATAAATACAGGCCTTCAGTGATGTGAGGCAGTTGCCAATCAGTCCTGTCTTTTTGTACCATCTGTGTGCATTGAGAGAAACCTCCCTGAACAGTTTACAGAGGAAAGCAACAGTTTGTCTTCCATTTCTAATGCCCTGGTTCTGCCAACATGAGAACACAGTGCTTGTGAATAAGTAACTGAATTGTAATTCTGCTTTTGAAAGCTATGTATGTCCAATAACACGGCATTGTTGGGGGCACTTTCACTTTCTCTGTGCCTCAAAGCAATTTGCCTTCCACCCTCCCCTCCCCCCTGCCCACCCCCACTGAATCTATGTACCAGACCAGATGAATAGCTCTACTTTTAAATTTTCCTGGAACAGATGACAGGAACAACATAACATGTCTGTGAGCATACATTTCTGTACGGGACAGTAAGGAAGGGCATCATAAATCTACCTTTGTTTTCAAGGTCAAGGCAGTTAAAACTCATTTCTACAAATAGGGTAAGTGATGAGGAAATGAGAACAATCTTGGTCAGGTTAAAAAAAAAAAAACAACAACAAACACAACAAGAACGCCCCACACACAAACTGTTCTCTTTTTCTTTAGTTTAAGTAAACTGATGCCATAATGGGAAAGGGGAAGAATGGGGGTTCTTGCTGAAAATTGAGTCGATCTTGATTTTTGTAGGAATTCATGGCTTGGGATGCAAGAACATGCAGATAAGAGTAAAAAATATAGCTTGAAGTTGGTTTCTAGAAGGACGAAATACAATAAAATGTCTCACTGTTGTTTTGTAAGGCAAGTTTTTAGTAAGTGGTGGTTGACTGAAGCTTGCACATGCCATCTAAAAAGCATCGCTGCCTTTTTACACCACATAATCTGCTGAGATTATAGATTAAGATATGATGGGAGAGGAGGCAACTCAGGATACTCTTTAACCTTGTTAGAAGCAGGTGGATTTTGGCAAGGATAGGTCATACCTTTGGCATTGTATGGTCTTTGTGAATACCAAGATGACTACTTGTGTAAGCAGATCTCTTGAGACTTGTGGTACCCATAAAGTTACTTTAAAGTAACTTGTGCAAGAATCAATTACAACTTAAATTACCTGCTTACTGTTGTACAGTAATTCACATGGTGACTTGCACGGTAATTCAGTCATACTTAAAACTTCTGTTCCTCTAGACCACTTACCTTGTTCCCTGCTTTGTAATGCAGTGAGGACTAGAGGAAGAGTAGTACGTGCTCTGCTTAATGCACTGCTACATGTGGCTAGAGAAAGAATATATTAACTCTTCTGAAATTCTGGTAGTATTTCCCATCTTTCCCTCCATTTCTTTTTGCTTCCCCGTGACATTTGGTTGCCTAATGCTATTTTTAGTCCAAGACATGCGAAACTGCTCAATAGCTTAATATGTGAAGATGTGTAAAGCCTAATATTTAGTGTTCAGTTTGGAAAAAAATCTGCATTGATTGGTTTAAAAAAAAAAAGTTAATTTTTTTTCTTTAGGAAGCAGAGGTTAATATTACATTTTTCACATTAATTTACACTTTTGTAGAAGGTCCTTCTATAGAGTGCTGAAATCAGTTAGAAGGTATAAGAACTGCATATCTTGGCAGGATCAAAATCCTGCCCAGAAGCTGTATCATGGTAGACCATAGTCAGATTAGGCGTTCTTGAGGCCTACTTTTTTTTTCCAGTGCATAACAGTACAGTATTTGAGATTTGCGTATATCATTTCAGTTACGCTTGCCTAGGTTTGTTGCATCTTCACAGCTAACTGTAGGGTAGAGACGACATTGTTCTGCATTTTTGCTTAAAATATTTCACAGTTAGAAAAATCACATGAATGCCAGGCCTCCTCAATGTGGAACTTGACTGGTTTATGTTGGAAACTACTTTGTCTTTAATCTTGTATTTTTAGATTATTGGAAAATGTGAAACCTAAGAGAAATGCAATGTCTTCATGTCATAATACAACATCTTGCTTTATTGCATCTATCTGCTTTTTTTGTAGTGTTTCTTTTGATCGGGTCTCAGACATCAACTTTACCCTCAATACGAATGAAAGTGTAAGTATGTGTTCCTGTACTGTCAGAAAAATTACTGTCTTTTAGACTTCAGAGGTTTGGTGGTGGTTGTTATATTTACTCCTTTGACGTGTAATCTTTGGAAAATAACTACCCTACCTTGTTCCTGTACCTTAAGATTTTCTCATTGGAAGACACTATTGTTGTTCTTTGTGATCAGTATTAAACAGAATTGCTTTAATTTGTATGGCCAGGTTCAAGAACAGGCTTGTATTCTATTTGCATATATTGCACTCTTGTGTTTTATGGCTAGAAGCTATTTCAGTCTTCCAGTGAGATTGTGGTGACAGGAAAAAAGTAAGGACAGAGACTTTAACCCTAGATACTATTTGTAAATTGAGCTGAAATGAACCCCACTACAGAAAATAAAGCTGGAGTGCTTCGTGCTCTGGTTATCTGAAGAGCTCTTCAATGTCATTCCTGCATGCAGTTCTTAAACATGATGGAAATGCCTAGCTGTTCTTTGATGGTCCACTCAACTTGTTAGTAGCTGAGTAACACAAGCACCACTGAATATTTTCTTGACAAGCCTTAAGTTGTTCTGACATTCTGGTTTTCTGCTGCTTTTAGAGAAATGTTTGGTTTGTTTGTTTTTTTTTTTTTTTTCCCCCCCACTGGTTTAAGATTCTCTTACAAATAGTCGCATATTTCAGAAATGTTATTACTAATCATAAATATAGATTTTATACTTTTGCTGTATGTAGGGCAATATAGCCTTGTTTGAGGCGTGCTGTAAGGAGCGGATACAGCAGTTTGATGATGGTGGCTCTGATGAAGAAGACATTTGGGAAGAAAAACATATTGCATTTACACCAGAGTCACAGAGGCGTTCCAGGTGAGAAATGTGGTCTTCATCCAAACAGCAGTGAGCCCTCAATCCTGAACATGTCTTTTGCTTCAGGCTGACTGTTAGCACAGGCTGTCCATCATAACTAGCTATTTCCATGCTGTGGAGAAATGAGTAGAAGGATGGCTCTAGTGCCTGTCTTCTAGCCTTAATTTGAAGAAGATGGCAACAGCTGCCCTGCCTACTCAGCTCTTCCTGTACTTCAGCTTTTGTAGCTTGGGGTTTTTTTGTTGCTTATTCTTTCCCTCTGCTTTTAAACCTGCTCAGCCAATCTTGCCTTGGACAAGATAGTCCAGCTCCACGCCTCTGTAGATCTTGCTGTCCTTGTGTAGTTGCGGACAAAACTGCATAGGAAGCTGTATTGAGGGGAAGGTCCCAAAACTCTCAGGGCTTTGCAGCCTCTCTTCATACTTACTGAATTTTGTCCCAGGATAGTCTTGGCTTTTCTGGCCTTCTTGTGGCTTGAGTCACAAGCCCAATCTCTTCTTCCCTTCAAAATACCTTCTGTACAAAATAAATTATTTTGTCTGATAGTGTTGTGATTACTTAATGTGATGTGTTTCAGGACATCCTTACCTTCTCATGTTACCTGCTTTTTGTTAGTTGCACTCACCAGGAAGGGAGAGATGCCCATAGGGTTTAAAGTGTGTATGTAGTTAAAGAGGATGGACTGGAATACAGTTGGTGAGATTTTTAAGATAGATCTGTTAGACTTGTTGTCAGATTTGAAAATAAATCAACTTCTGTCTTGTTAGATTGGTGTTGAAGAGTTTTGTATTTCAGTGCTTCTGTTTAGTGCTAAGAGACCAAATAGGTCCAACAATCTCCGTACACATACCTGATTCCTTACTTTCCTTTTCTGCTCCCTTTTGCGTGGCAGGAGTAAAACCAATCTTTGTCTTTTATTTGCAAAATGAAAAACCTTATACCTTGGGTTTTTTGGGGGGAAGTGAGGGGAATACTAGCAGCTAACAAATTATACCTCCGTTAATCTATCCAAAATGATAGCTGTTGTAATTCTCTTTAGCCTCAAACTCTCCAATATTTCATTTTGGCCAGGGTCTGATACTAAATACAGAATGTAAACTATCTTTTTGTATTTTAAGTTCGGGCAGTACGGACAGTGAAGAAAGTACAGATTCTGAAGAAGAGGATGGAACAAAACAAGACTTGTTTGAATCGCACACCAGTACAGAGGACAAAATGGAAGTAGACTTAACTGAACGTATGTAGCTTTTCTCCCAGTTGCTTTGAGTTATATAGGAAAGCATTAGATTTAGCAGTCTTACTTTGTAGGAGTTTCCCTCATTTACTGTTTTTATTCCGACTGTCTTAAAGTAGTCTTTCCCACTGTAAAGACAGCTTGCAACAGAGCATGCAAATGTTGGGAAGTTTGAATTCCTTATGTGTCCTGAGTCAAGTCACTTAGTCTCTTTAAAATTCATGTTTCTGTTCTTCAAGAGGGAAAAATGGAGGAGGAATCAGAAAGAGAAGGATGAAATGTAATAATTTATACATCTTGAATGCCTACAAAACTAATAGGTTGTTAATCTCCAAACCTAAAATATGGCTATTTTTACTGGAAGCCTTTCAGATCAACTTTTCATCTAACAATGCTCTTTTAAAAGACTTCCTACAGAAGCCAAGTAAATTTGCTTTGGACTGGTTTCATGTGTGAATGAAAGTTGTGCATCAGTAGACTCCTCTGTGGAAACTTAATGTAATTGGTTTAAAAGTTTTCATGTTCAAGTCCCAGTAGACTAAACTGGCTTTAGTTAAACTGGCAATATCTATGGGTAGAAGTCCTCTGTTTATCTAGACTATAAGGAATTAAAATAGAAGGAAAAGTTAAGGGTTTTCTTTTCTTTTGTCAGATTGGTGTCGTTGGCATCTGTGTGTCAAACAAGTTTTGATCCATGTGGGTCTCCTCCCATATCTGCCTGGGCTGGAATTTCTAATTGCTAGTCAGAGCTTCCTTTTCAGCCTGTTTTTTTGTATGTAAGTGTTAATGAAAAACATGTTTCCCTTGGGTAGGTGAAGTATTTTGAATTGACCTATCCTAAATTAGATGCTGTTAATTCGCAGTTGTTCCAAAATTTAAAATCCCGATAAATATTTTAAGTTGTAAAAATCCTTAAACTTTTCTGAGGCTTAGCAGTTGCATTAGTGCATGAGAAATTATTTAGAAGACTGCCCATACCTAAGTTGAGATGCTTATCTTATGTGTTCAGGAAAATGTGCATAGGAAACTGAAAAAGGGATGAAACCTTTTAAGATTTTCTTTTTAATTACAGAAATTAATTTTGAAAATTGATAATAAATGTTGATGTTAGTTTAAAGTGGGATTATACTTGTGATCTAGTATGGTTTATTGGTTTTGTTCTTCAGATAAGCTATATCAATTTTTAGCAGAATACTCTGAGTTACTGTTTTTAAAATTCTGCCTTACTAGCAGAATTTTGCTTTTAGGGAATGCATTCATTTTACAACAGTATATAGAGGATTCTTCTGCATGTGCTTTAAAAAGTCTAGTTATGAATTTTGTTGCTCTTTTTGGAGTGTACTTACAAAGAATGTGTTAGGCATATGTGCACTCATGTTCTTTATTTAAATGTGTTCTTAATGAACTTGTTGATGGTTTTTCAGCACCAAACTGGTCAGCTAACTTTGATGTACCCATGGAGACTGCACATGGTGCCAATCTGGATTCTGTTGGGTCTGATGTATGGAGTACAGAAGAACCTATGCCAGCAAAAGAAACTGGCTGGGCTTCCTTTTCAGAGTTCACATCCTCTTTGAGGTAAGAATGTTAGTGACTCAGGGCAAGTTCTTCACTACTAAATGTAATGGCAGCTGCCGTTTGCTTTCCTTGGGGTGTCCCTCTCTACCCAAGCCTGTGTTGGTCATGTTCTGGTGGAATACAAGGTGCGTAGTGTCCGAAGGGCTCCATCTGTTATAGAATCATAGAATGTTTTGGGTTGGAAGGGACCCTAGAGGTCACCCAGCCCAACCCCCCTGCAGGAGCAGGGACACCGCTAACTAGATCGGGTTGCTCACAGCCCCGTCCAACCTGGCCTGGAATGTTCCCAGGGATGGGGCCTCCACTACCTCTCTGGGCAACCTGTTCCAGTGTTTCACCACTTCCTTATATCTAGTCTAAACCTACCCTGGTTTAGTTTAAAACCATCCCCCCTTGTCCTGTCACAGCTGGCCCTACTAAAAAGATTGTCCCCATCTTTCCTGTAGGCCCCCTTTGAGCCCTGAACGGCCGCACTCAGCTCTGCCCGCAGCCTTCTCTTCTCCAGGCTGAACAAGCCCAACTCTCCCAGC